TCTCAGTCAAGATCAATCAATAGTTGTCAATAAATTATTGTCAATTTATCTTCGTGTCGAAACATAAACGTATCATTTTATCAATTAAGGTGAAAGCTGAAATAAGTAAGCAAATAAATAAAACATAATACGTAAGGTATTATAACTTTTCCTTGGACATAATCAGATCAGATAATCGAGGTTTTGTTTGTATAGAATATTTAAAAAAAATGAAAAATATTTTACATAACCAGTAAATGATTTAAGATAATTAATTAAATTTTGGATATTAGTTTTATTACTGTGCAACAGCGCAGATAATATTTTTCATTTAGTAACAAACTTACGGTTTATTACTTTCATTCGTGATCACAAGCAGTTGATAATGCAGACACTAATATACAGAGGGTGTCTTACGTCTTTTCGGCCAAATGGTATCAGTATATTCTACGAGCGATGATAATAAGAAAATGTCTTATAAACAGATGCTCACAAATTTGTTTATTTAAAAAATTATAAGAAAATTACAAAATAACTTTTGTTCGATGTAAAAATATGTTAGTGATATCTCTCTTATTTATATTTACTTATTAAGCTATGTTTACTAATTCGTTCAATTTTCCACAGGCGTTAATGCTGTATTTTCAGAAACGGGTGACACTTCGAAATGGAGCTAACATATGAGCCGTTTATTTTGAAAGTGGCATAAGTCGCTTTACCGTAATGAAAAGTGGTGATTTTTTTAATGTTTATACGAAATTATTTATACTGAGAAAAGTATCAGCATCCTGAGATAACAAATACAAGTAAATCTTCTCGAAAGTTAGCATCCATATTTTTAAACGTGTTAAAACGCAAACCCTTAAATATATCGACTTGAAAACGAAGTGACTTATGCCACTTTCAAAATAAACGGCTCATATGTAGATAAAAATTCCCAACTAGTCCAACTCTTTTCCTTATTTTCGTTCGCCGAATATGGTGATACTGTTTGACCGAAAAACCTGGGACACCCTATGCAATAGTAAGTGTGAAACAATACAATTTACAGTAATAATTACAGTTATAACTTGACAGTTTCTTTTATATTACTATCCTGTGCTATGTTATCACTTCTACCCCTTAAATTTTACAGGAATTCCACTCCGATAATTTGTAAATGGAATTTCAACCCTTTCACTGCAACGTTTATTAAAAATTATTCTCAGTATAGATACAATGCGACATTGTGATCTCTAATTAAACATTTTAAGAAATTAAACATATATTTGTGAAAATATTATAATTTTCAGTCACTTTTACGATTATGATTAACCATTGTATTTTTGAAAATCTAAAAAATGTGTTCTTATACGATATCTTCTTTCTTGAAACTTCCACTTCTCAGTTTTTTCTTGTTGATTCGAGCATTTCTTCTATCTCTTCTTTTTCCATTATACTTTCTCTCATTTTCATAATACTTAATAAATATAAAAAAGAACAACATATTAATAAATGAACTTACGATGATTCTCAAGCAGTCGTTGTTAGATTAAGCAACTTAGTAAATGTACAACAATTAAAGCTGCTAAATACGAAAGCACAAGAAATTTTCAAATTGTATTAATTATATTAGTCATGTACACGGTGCTTGCAGCGAAAGGATTGAAAATTTAACGCAGCTCATGTTACGATTAATTACAGAACACAGGAAATCATATTTATTAATGTGAGTAGCTGCTTAAAAATTCTATGACATAAAAATTTTATTTTATGTGAAAAAATGATGCCAACTAATAATTACAAATGTCAGAAAATGCCTGGTGTCCTTGAGTGGCTAGTTGACTTTCTTCAAACTACACGGTTTACATCAACAGTTTCTGAACCAAAATTTCAACGTTTTTTTTTTCTAAGATATTGATGACTTTTACTATTTATAGTATTATTTAACATA